AAAGACAAAAAGAATATAATTTTAGAAATCACAGCACAGGAGGGAGGGGGGTTCTTTGACCTGTAGCTGTGGCAGCTCATCCTCAGTACTCCACTCCCAATTTCCTGTTCATTTCTTGCACCAATTTATAGTCACCCTCTTCGAGGCTGTTGCCTTGGTTGAGTTGCTGTCACTGTTGCCTCTAAGTCAGAAGGCTGTGGGCTCAGGCTCCCGCTTCGGAGACTTTAACTCAGAGTCCAGGCGGACACTCCAATTCAGCAGCGGAGAGCGGGCGCGGGAGTTTGGGCTGCGTTGGCAGAGTCGCCTTCCTTCGGATGAGACGTTAACCCGAGCTTCTGCCCGTGCCCTGTTCAGGTGGATGTTAAGGATCCACGGTGTGCTGTTGGAAAAGAGAAGGGAGTTTCTCTCTCCCAATGTGCTGGCCGATAATCACCCAGATAAAATTGGTCACTCACTCCACGGCTGTTTGTGGGCCGCTGCTGAGCCCAAATTGTCCGCTACGTTTTGCCCACAACATATACAATCACTGAACCTTACAGTGAACCTTATCCTATGAAGTGCTTTGAGATGTTCTTCCGATGTGAAAAATGAATATCAAATTCAAGGATTATTATTATTAAAGTGCTCTAGGCTGTGTAAAGGGTGCAATGTAAGCTGTATTATTTATTATCGAGCGATGGCCTGGTCCGTAAAGTGCAGTGATCGAGTTTTGTGGGAAGTTACTGCGCGCAGACTGACTACCAGGTTCGCCTACAAATACACGGTCACTAGGCTTTATGGTAAAGGCGCTCAGAGACATCTCGACGATGCAGTCAGCTGCTGGGTCAAGCGCTCGGATTGTGAGCGCAACAATCTGGAGGGAATCTCACGAAGCAATCAGAACAGGAGAGGGCTTGGCATAGGCGTTCTCAGGGGAGATTATTCAGTGAATGTTGTGAAGGGCTTTGTGTTGTCCTGACGTGAAAGGCGCAGTAGTAAATGTAAGCATTCTTTATAGATACCGATTTTTTTTTTTTTTTTTACAGTGAATCTAGTCTCTTACTTCACGACTGTGTCGATTTTTGGATTTAGTTGAATCGTCTGTGGCAATCCAATAAAAATTTACATTTTCACAGCGCCTTTCAGTTTGGGAGAACGTCCCGGAGTGCTGGGCTGAGAGCCGAGGAGGGTGGGGAAGGGAAAGATAACTGGAGGTCCAGTCACAGAAACACGTCTGGAGACTAGCTTTGATGGCTGTGTCTAGCGTCCTGTTCGTAGACCCTGGCAGAAGCCTCTTCCTGAAATATGTCACTCCCACCCTCGCTCGCCTCCACTACCACATCACTCCCACCCTCGCTCGCCTCCACTGGCTCCCCATCCCCCAGAGGATTGAATTCAAGATCCTCATCCTCACTTACAAGGCCATTCACGGCCTCGCTCCCTCCTACCTCTCCGACCTACTATCCCCCTACCTACCTGCCCGTACCCTCCGTTCTTCTGGCTCCGGTCTGCTCCACATCCCCCGCCCCAACCGCCCTACCATCGGTGGCCTTCAGCCTCTCAGCCCCGAGGCTCTGGAACTCCATCCCCAGTGCCTTCGCCGCTTCCTCCCTTTCCTCCTTCAAGACCTTTCCCTTTGACCGAGCCTTCAGCTCCCCTCTCGACTCTCTACCCCCTCCTCGCCCCCTCCCTTCCCTCCCCTCACCCTGACCATTTCCCCCTCCTCGCTCCCTCCCTTCCCTCCCCTCACCCTGACCATTTCCCCCCTCCTCACTCCCTCCCTCCCTTCCCTCCCCTCACCCTGACCATTTCCCCCCCTGCTCGGGTCCTGACCCAACTGTCCAGCGCTTTGGGACGTCCTCCCGACGTAAAAGGCGCTCTATAAATGGAATCTTGTTGTTGTTGTCATGGGACCTTCAATATCCATCTGAACAGCGCACAGAAGAGATCTCAGGTTGACGACTCATTTGACGGACGGCACCTCCAACAATGCAGGACTCCCCTCAGCACTGCACTGGAGTGTCAGCCTGGACCGTGGGCTCAAAATCCTGAGGTGGGAGCTTGAACCGTCACCTTCCGACTCGAAGGCAAAAGTGTTAACAGTGGATAAAATTGTTCACTCTTCAGCTGTTTGTGGGACGCGCTTGTGAGCAAATTAGCTACCGCATTCTCTTACAAAATACACCGTGACTGCACTCTGCGTAAAATCCTGAGAAACATTCTGAGATGTTGACATTAAAGGCGCTATATCAAATACAGGGATTATTATTGGTCATAAATGACGTTAGGACGGAGTAGCTCTGCGTTTCGGAAGAACGTCAGGACGTGCGACGAGCAATGCCTGCAGAAGCACTGTGAGCAGTTTCAGTGAAGCTATAAAAATACAAGCACTTTAGCAGAGAACGAGTAGGTTTTGTCCCTTTTGGATCTGTTGCAACGTGTACAGTGGAATGTGCTCATCTGGACTCCAAACTTCATTCATTGCCTCAGGGCATCGCCTCTATAGAGTTCCTTAGCAGACTCTTAACTTTTTAATAGAGGAAAGAATCCACTTTCTTATTGAAGTTGCAGGCGGAGAAGCTGTGGCTTTTGCCAAATAAACTGGTCAGCGGTGCCAAATGCACATGTGTCTGTCACACACGGATTCTTTGTGTGTGTGTGTGTATATATATATAAACTTGCAGTCCTCTGCTATTTATACAGACCAAAGATGTTTGCTATAGCTTTTCACTATTTCTCCAGCTGTAAAGTGCCCCTCAGTTTGTTTCTGGGGGGAGAGAGGGAGGGAGAGAAAGAATGAACAGCGGAGAGAGGAATACACAGTTTTGAGAACAGGATATATTACAACATATACGCCTCTGTTTACCTCGCAGTAAGTAGGAACCCGGTTGTTAGTCGATTGGCGTATCACTTTCCGGGGGTAATAATCCTTCCAAAAAAAAATAATAATTCAGTCACTCAGTGATCAATTTTTAATTTTTTTTGAAGGGATTATTACCCCCAGAAAAGCGATTCGCCAATTGACTAATAACCAGGTTATTCAGCACCAGCTGCTGAGGTGAGGAGGTGCTGCCAGGAGCCAAGCAGGAGGGCCGCTGTCTTGCCAAAATTTGAGCTGGAGGAAGTTGGCTCTCGTCCAGGACAATTAGCCAGGACATCAACGGTGCTTGAGTCGAGGGTCAAGGGTGGAGGTGGGATAGAGATGGGTGTCGTTTGTGGAGTAGGACATTGCTGTGTGCGCGTTGGCTACCGCTTTCGCCTACAAATACACAGTAGCAGGAAACTGAATTGCTTCGAGATGTTTCGGTTACTATATATTGAACGCATAGATCCTTAGTTATTATTAATTGTAGGACCTTACCAGGTTCGTACGCCTCAAGGGGATTCACAGGTAATCACTGTCAAGCGTAGTGACTTGCTGTGTCCTGGCCTACAATCCCCCATGACCGTTTGTGCGACACGACTGTGTGAAATTGGCTGCCGTGTTTCGCCCACAAAATGGACTGTCAAACCACTTTACAGCATTTCCTGTGAAGTGCTTCGGGGCGCCTTTGTGTCGTGAAAGGCGCCGTATCAAATGCGACGATCAGTGTTGTTCTATGCGCCATGCGCGGCACCAGAAGTGGTTTTGGTGAATGACTTGAGGCTTTTCAGGCTGCTTGTTGGTGCACAAAACACCAGCCTCGTTCGCCTGAAAAAGCAGTCGTTGCCGTTGGCAGCAGTTGATGTAAAGTGCTTTTGGACCCGACAGGGAATTATAGGAATGCAAGTTCCTCTCTGTTGTGCTGTTCGAGCCGTATAGAGCACTAAATGGTCTTTCAGTTTGAAGGTAATCTAATCCCGCTGGCTGCCTGGCCTTCTGATCAAACAGCTGGCGGACTGAGTTATGGCTCTTGTATCACCCCCTACCCTCTCCTGACTCCATTGCTTCACCATCCCTGAAGTGAATCAAGTTTAAGATCCTTGTCCTCGCCATTAAAGGGGGTTCTGGAGGGCATGAGATCTTGTCCCCATTCTACTTCTGTCACCTTCTTAAATCATGTCAACCCGGCTTCTCCCTCTGCTGAGTAGACATGGGTGGCTTCATGTCCCCCACCCCTCTCGGATACCACCTCAGCTCAGGTGCCAAGCCAGGACTATCAAGTGCCTCCCGACGCGAAAGTCGCCATGTAAACGTAACTCTGTGTTGTAGACAGCAGTGGGGATTTGGAGAGACTGTGTTCTTTGGAACATGCGCAGGTCCGTGAATAGACAGGGCCAGTGGGTCTCACCGCTGGGAGAGGAGAAACTATCTTTGAAGTAGCTGAGACGGCCTCTTATCAACAACTAGAGGGTTAAAGGGTATTTGCATTATGTATATTCTTGCCGGTCACTTGCTGTAAGTGACAGCTGCTGCTCAGTGGGATTATTATATTATTATATTATAATTATGTGTGCAGGCGCCTGTGCGAAAGCTGCATTTTATGATAATTGCCCCAGTCGCTTTGCATCTTTTTAACTTCTTAGATGTGGAACACGGGATTTTTGGGGGACCAGCCGGGTGTCTGACGCTGGGGGAAACCCATCAACGTGCTTATGAGCCTCCAAACCAGACTGAGAATTCCAGGCATCCCACCTACACATGGAAATTCCAGAGACAGATTGTCGGAATGGAATGTGCTCTCTCTCTCTCTCTCTCTCTCCCTGGAGGGACGCAACCTGGTTACCTAATTCTGGAGAGCAATGAGAATTGACTGTATATTTTGTGGGCGAAACTCTAGCACAGCGATGGGTTTCTGCATGTGTCAGACACATGGCTGCCAAACAAATATCCCTCTCTTTTGTTTCTCTGTCTGACATTTTTGGTCTCCGATCCTTACATTCTCTTTCTCTCTCTCTCTCTCTCTCTCTCTCTCTGTGTCTCTCTCTCTCTCGCTCAGTTCTATACCATACCTTGCTTTGGATTTTAGGTACTGTCCCAAGTCCACTGTGTTTACGCCAGGATTTGTAATTATCTTTCTTACATGGTGTTCTCTGTGTAGGGTAGCGACTGACCACAATGTAGACAATACCACTGCGGTGCTGAGGGAATGGCTGGTGAACGTACAGAAACTGTACCATTCAGTGGAGTGGCGGCCCATGGATGAGCCCAGGTAAGTCCCTGCTGCTGGTCAGGTACACTTCCCCATCAGGGGCACCGTCTGACAAGCTTCTTGCTGCTTGTCCAGTTAGGACAAGCTTGTCCAAGGCACTGGCCTGCTCCGTGTCTCCCGCCCTGTCTACCCCACCGTTGGCGGTCAGGCCTTTAGCTTTTCTGCCCCCACTCTATCCCCGAATCCCTCCACCTCGCCCTCTCCCTCACCTCCTTCAAGGCCCTTCTCAAGATCTTCCTCTTTGACGGTGCATTTAGTTCATCCTCCCAACCCCACATGCCTACCCCCCAATCCAGCAGCAGGTGCATCTGCTCGACTGGCACTAGCTCGTCCCTCACACCCTCCCCACCATCGAAGTTCTTACTTTCAGCCACTACGCCTCGAAACTCTGGAACACTCTCCTTCAATCCCTCTGCCTTCCCTCTCTTTTTCAATTCATACCTGAAAACCTTCCTCTTTGACTGTACTTGGGCTACCTGCCCTCCTCCCCCAGTTCGGAGTCAGGCTTCGCCACTGTCGAGCGCTCTGAGACGCTACCCTGCGTGGAGTGCGCTATATAAGTGGAAATCGTTGTTGTTGCATTTTGCTGCTGACGGAAAACATGCTGGGGTGACGAGTCACATCAGGCAAATGTCAACAACAGCAAGTTACATTTACGTAGAGCCTCTTGTGTGGGGAGGACATCCCAAGGTGCTGGAGAGTTAGGCATTTGGACCTGAGATGAGGGTACGAATCAGGAGGGTTGGAGGGCAGGGAGGGTAGGGGTCGGCAGGGTGACCGAAGGCGTGGTCGAAGAGATTGGGTCTTGAAATGGGCCTTGAAGGTTCCAAGATCTCAAAGTGAGATGACATGGGCAAAGCACAGGCTGGCACTGCGTTTAAAGTGACGTGGGCTGTAATAGTTTCACACGGTGTCCTTGTTTGCAAATGATCTCTCTAGATCCTACTATGACGAAACCGGACCCAAACACTGGTCGAATGCCCGCTATGAACATGTTATGAAGCTACGCCAAGCGGCATTGAAAACTGCGCGAGAGCGATGGGCCGACTACATCCTGGTAAGTAACGTTTGGACCACAATAGCTCCAGCAATGTGTCAGCCCGGCTCCGTCGCTGTGTGTCAGCCCGGCTCAGTCGCTGTGTGCTGGCTCCGGCGTGGGCCGGCCCGACTCCCATCAGTACAACAACAACAACAACAAGATTCCATTTATAGAGCGCCTTTCACGTCAGGAGGACGTCCCAAGGCGCTGCACAGTTGGGTCATGACCCGAGCAGGGGGGAAATGGTCAGGGTGAGGGGAGGGAAGGGAGGGAGAGAGGAGGGGGGGAATGGTCAGGGTGAGGGGAGGGAAGGGAGGGAGCGAGGAGGAGGAAGAGAGTCGAGAGGGGAGCTGAAGGCACGGTCAAAGAGAAAGGTTTTGAGACCGGCCTTGAAGGAGGAAAGGGAGGAAGCAAGGCGAAGGCACTGGGGGATGGAGTTCCAGAGCCTCGGGGCTGAGAGGCTGAAGGCCCGACCACCGATAGTAGGGCGGTTGGGGCGGGGGACGTGGAGCAGACCGGAGCCAGAGGAACGGAGGGTACGGGCAGGTAGGTAGGGGGATAGTAGGTTGGAGAGGTAGGAGGGAGCAAGGCCGTGAATGGCCTTGTAGGTGAGGATGAGGATCTTGAAATCAATCCTCTGGGGGATGGGGAGCCAGTGGAGGCGAGCGAGGGTGGGAGTGATGTGGTCCCGAAGCCTGGTGCGGGACAGTACACGAGCTGCAGAGTTCTGAATGACCTGCAGCTTGTGGAGGGAGGTGGCGGGAAGGCCGGCGAGGAGAGAGTTCCCATAGTCCAGCCTTGAGGTGACAAAGGCGTGAACCAGGGTTTCAGCCGCGTGAGGGGTGAGGTAGTGCCGTAATCTGGCAATGTTCCGGAGGTGATGGAAGGCGGTGCCAGTTGTGGTGCGGATGTGAGGGAGAAAGGACAGCTCAGGGTCGAACAAAACGCCGAGGTTCCTGACTGGCTTTGAGAGGTGGAGAGTGCGGCCTTGGATGCTGATGGTGTCAGCGCCTGAGGTGCGGAGGCGCTGACGTGAGCCAATCAGGAGGGCCTCGGTTTTTCGCACGTTGAGCTGAAGAAAGTTGTCTCTCGTCCAGGACTCGATGTCGGACAGGCAGCTGTCAGGACATCGGTGGTCGTGGAGTTGAGAGTAGAGGAGGAAAGGTAGAGTTGGGTGTCATCCGCATACATGTGGAAGTTAACCCCATGTTTGCGGATGATGTAGCGCGCTCGTCTCCCAAGTCAGAGAGCTGAGGGTTCAAGTCCGCACGTCAGGAATCACAAAGTTTAAGCTGATGCTCCAGTGCAGTGCTGACGGGGTGTTGTGTCGTCGGAGGTGACATCCTTCGAGTGAGACATTAAATTGAGCTCCTGTCTGTGCCCAGTTCAGGTGGACGTCAAAGTTCCCGTGGAGCTATTCAAAAAGAGATTTTCTCTCCCAGTGTCCTGACCAACAATTCTCCCACAAATAGTGATAGAATCATAGAGCATTACAGCACAGGAGGAGGCCTGTGCCGGCTCTTTGGAAGAGCTATCCAATCAGTCCCACTCCCTCGTTCTTTCCCTGCAAATTTTTTTCTTTTTAAGTACCTTTCCAATTCCCTTTCAGGCATGCATTCCTGGCCGTAGCAACTCTGTGTAAAATAAATAGATAAATAAGTATATGTTAATAAATTAATTAATTTTTCCTCATCTCCCCTCTGGTTCTTTTGCCAATTATCTTAAATCTTTTGGCCCTGGTTACTGACCCACCGCCCAGTGGAAACAGTTTCTCCCTATTTACTCTATCAAAATCCTTCATAATTTTGAACACCTCTATTAAACCTCCCCTTAACCTTCTCTGCTCTAAGAAGAACAACTCCAGCTTCTCTCGTCTCTCCACATAACTAAAGTCCCTCATCCCTGGTACCAATTATGGAAAATTGCCTCTGCGCCCTCCCCAAAGACTTGACATCCTTCCTATAGTGTGGTACCCAGAATTGGACACACGATCTAGCTAAGGCCTAACCAGTGACTTATGAAGGTTCAGCAGCACTCCCTTGTTTTTGCACTCTATGCCTCTATTTACAAAGCCAAGGATCCCACGTGCTTTTAACAGCTCTATCAACCTGTCCTGCCACCTTCAAAGCCCCGTATATGTGAATCCCCGTGTCTCTCTACTCCTGTACCCTGTTTATAACTACCATGTTGTGCATATTGCCTCTCCTCATTCTTCCTCCCAAAATACATCACCTTACGCTTCACTGCATTAAATTCCATATGCAATGTGTGCCCATTTCACCAATCTGTCCATGTTGTCCTGCTCTTCTACTATTATCACCATTTACCATGTTCCCATGTTTTGTGTCATTTGCAAACTTTAAAATTTTGCTCTCTATACCCAAGTCCAGGTCATTCACATGTATTAAAAAGTGCAGTGGTCCTAATACCGACACACTGTATATTCTCTCCAGTCTGAAAAACAACTCTGCTTTCTGTCTCTCAGCCAATTTTGTATCCGTGCTGCCACTGTCCCTGTGATCTCCTGGGCTTCAATTTTGCTAACTCGTCTAGTTATCAAACGCCTTCTGAAAGTCCATATACACTACATCAACTGCACTACCTTCATCATTCCTCTCCATTTTATCATCAAATCAAACTCAATGAAGTTTGTCAGACACAATTTGTCTTTAACAAATCAGTATTGACTGTCATTAATTAGCTCATACTTTGCTAAGTGGAAATTATTTTTGTCCCGGGTTATTGTCTCTAGGAGTTTCCCCACCACCGATGTTAGGCTGACTGGCCTGTAGTTACCAGGTTTATCTCTCTCCATTTTTTTGAACAGGGATGTAACATTTGCAACCTTGCGCACCACTCCTATATCAAAGGATGACTGAAAGATTGTGGCCAGAGCCTCCACTATTTCCACCCTTATTTCCCTCAGGATACAACCTCGGATACATCCCATCCAGATCAGGCGACTTTTCTACCTTGACCTTTGCTAACCTTTCTAGTTATCTTTATTTTTGTTTATTTCTGTTTTTTTATCCTTTCCAATTTCTCTACCCTCTCTTCTGATACAGTCCTCACCTTGAGAGTGAGAAAAATGCAATTTTACGATCTCTCATCTGATCGGAACAACACATGAATCCGTTATTCAACATATGACAGCCCCATTGTTGCCGAGTGATTAGGTTAGTTACTGTTCGTAAACGGAGGATAGTCAGAATCACTGTAATAGTGAGTATCACTTGAACGACTATGAAAATGTAGGAGGCGAATCTGGCTAGTGGGTGTTCCCCAATATTATACACCATTTCCCACCAATGTTGTTCCTCTCTCAGTAGTGGGATAGCCTCGTCAATCTCTTTATTGGACAGTCGTGATTTTACTAAATGTTCTTGTGAGATGTGGGAACTGTCGATGATAGCTGTTAGGCTGCTGGATATTGGAGGAATATAGTGACCGTATGGAAAGATCATTGTTCTGACACGATCTTCAATGTCTTTTCACCTATACCGATCCACTCTGCTGCCTCTCTTGGTGACATTACAGTCCCTGTACCATCCCCTAATACCGTGCCCTTATTACATTGTACGAATTCTCTAAACATCTCCTCCTTTCGTTTATCATAAAAGTCCCTGTAAACAGAATCACATAAAGAAAGATTAAAATGTACATACTAATTCACAATACTAGGGTATAATACATCATACAATCATTCAATCACTAGCCCATTACCTGGGCCAGCGGATAGAGGGGGACATGAATCATTCTGGGGCATAGTTGGTATGATAGTTATTCTCACTTCTGCCCCGTATGCATATGTTCCCTCAGGGTTTTCCACTGAGCAGTTAGAAAAATCCTCATGGCGGTGAAAGACGTATGCGAAAATCAAGTCCCGCTCCACAGAGTCATTATTTCTCTGGTGCGGTCCCAACATAGAGACACCCCACCTGCCAACAGAGGTGTCTTCCCCCGAATCTGCCCGGTGTCTTTGAAATGTTATTGTGTCATCGCTGCCTTCGTCAGTGGTGCAGGTTAAGGTTAGATGATTCCCCAACTCTACCTCGATTAGATGATAAGATTTGGCGACGATCTTTGTCCCATATAGGAGTATGTGAGGAGACGGAGGAAGTTATTTCTGTACTCAGGAAACATGTCCGGGGGCGTGTATTCCTTCGTTGTTATCACGGTCAGCATCAGAAGGAACGCTTTTGCTGCATCCATCCCGCCAAGCTTCTGCGGAACAAGAGTAATATTCGTTAGCTTACCAGTTACTTTACTGATTTTAATTGATTAATGTGGTGCCATTTAGCCAATTTAGCCCCCTTTCTGCCTGTGTATTGTATCAAGTATACTGATGGGTTGGCTTTATCAATAATCGGAAATGGACCCCTCCATTTAGGTAGAAATGGGTTTTCCTTTTTACTGAAATCCAGTACCATAACAGTGTCTCCAATGGTATACTCACATTCCCTTACCTTTTTGTCGAAATACCGTTTCATCTGTTGTTTAGGTCTTCCTAGGTTGTTAGCCACAAATTCATTTGTGTGTTGGATATGATTAATCATTTTACATACCCATGCTTCACTGAAAGCCCCCTGTAGGCTCGGGTTCCCTTCAAGGGTTGCCCTGGAGGTAGGGGGTGTAGTAGGTGCCCGGGTAGTCTCATTATTCTCCCTGTCATAGCTTGGTAAGGAGTCAGACCCGTGGCTGAATGTGGGGTGGATCTTAGTGCCATTAAGCACATTGGCAGCATCTGTGCCATTGAGTGGGGTGATCTGCACAATATTTTTGTAATAATGTTTTAATTGTCCGATTGCCGCGCTCCACCACCCCTGATGATTGTGGGTGGAACGCAATGTGCAATTGTTGCTTTATACCCATTTTCTGAGTGATGGCTTTGAAAACTTTTGCTGTGAAGTGCCTCCCTTGGTCGCTGTCTAAAACCATCGGTATTCCCACCTGCCGATCACCTCGCTCGATAGTACCCGTGCTGCCGTAATGGCTGTCGCAACTCTAACGGGAAAAGC